GGTTCAACTACGAGCTTTTTAACTGCAACAACTTTAATATACGCTATTGGAGCTGGAATTACCGCGGCTGCTGGCACCAGACTTGCCCTCCAATTGTTCCTCGTTAAGGGATTTAGATTGTACTCATTCCAATTACGAGACCCAAAAGAGCCCGTATCAGTATTTATTGTCACTACCTCCCCGTGTCGGGATTGGGTAATTTGCGCGCCTGCTGCCTTCCTTGGATGTGGTAGCCGTTTCTCAGGCTCCCTCTCCGGAATCGAACCCTAATTCCCCGTTACCCGTTGCCACCATGGTAGGCCACTATCCTACCATCGAAAGTTGATAGGGCAGAAATTTGAATGAACCATCGCCGGCGCAAGGCCATGCGATTCGTTAAGTTATTATGATTCACCAAGGAGCCCCGAAGGGCATTGGTTTTTTATCTAATAAATACACCCCTTCCGAAGTCGAGGTTTTCAGCATGTATTAGCTCTAGAATTACCACAGGTATCCATGTAGTAAGGTACTATCAAATAAACGATAACTGATTTAATGAGCCATTCGCAGTTTCACAGTATAAAGTGCTTATACTTAGACATGCATGGCTTAATCTTTGAGACAAGCATATGACTACTGGCAGAATCAACCAGATACCTAGTTCCTGCAGGGTGTGCCCGGGAGCGTATCCGTAGATATGCTCCGCAAGACGCACCCCAAAGCCTCCGAAGAGGCAGCGTGTAACGTAGGCTTCACTCTGGAAGGGGCACACGAAGTGCCCGGCCACAGCGACACCCCCGGCGCACCGGGAGTACACAGATGACCATCCAATTGCCCCCACTGTAGCCCCCCAGGAACCGGTCCGCACGCAGGTAGACCCGGCCAGGAATCGCCTTTGCAGGCGTTGGCAGGCTGCGGCATACGGCCCTCGGGTGGAGGGTCCAGACTCCGCGGACACGCCGACGAACGGCGGCTCCCGCGGAGCGGCTCCCCCCGGGAATCTGTAAAAGAAGGCTGGCCAGCGGCCAACGATCCACAGACTCCATCGGTGCCGGGGACCGAGAACGGCCCCCGGGCTTCAGACACCCCGGCAACAACGGGCACCCCCGGGCATGATTAAGCCGGCGCGCCTCTGACTTGGCAAGCTACAGATCCCCGCGACACGATATCTCAGGGGTCACGGGCGCGTCCGCAAGGGACACTCCGGACCTCCAGTCGACTCGCAGCCGCGGGGCAGAGCACCTAAGACCAGAGAACACACCAGCCGCGCGGGAGAAATACCAACGGGCCGGGGTGGGCGGGCACCCCCGTTCCTGAAGCGAGGCCCCGAAGGACCTGTGCGCCACCAGTCACGGAGAGGTGACCTGCCTGGCAGGGAAGAAGTGTGGGTGGGCTTCCAGCAGCTGAGATCAGCTGCCTTTCACCTTCCACATAGTACCACCGGCCCTCCCTGGCCCGCAGACCGGCGCGCAAACGTTTTGTGGTCCGAAAGTGAACCGGGGGGGACCCATATAGTATGTGGTGGTCCGTGCGTCAGCCGCTTTTCCCATACAAAGTGGGCCACCCACACATGCCCTCTACCCGGGCTGCAAGGGGACTTAGGCATTTCTGTCCACGCTCGCTGCCCGTTACGCGGCCATACGCTCCGACGTTACGCCCGTTGTGCTCACTCTCGCAAACCGCTGTCGGCCGCCCACGCCGCCAACACCCACTCCTGTGCCCTTCCACTCCTCCGCCCACCGGCCAGTCACGTGGGCCTCCGCCGTAGTTGTGAGGGCTACACAAAACGCAAGCGCCCGGCTGTGCGCCCCCCTCCCCACGCCGGTTGACGGTCCGAGGCGTCGCTACATGGCGATGTGGAGAGGTTGATCGGTGGATTTGCCAGCCCGTGCGGCCTACGACCTGCCTGAGAGGCGTTGTCGGTGGGCGACCTACAAGGATCTCTACGGTGCATGTACGCGAGGTCGGCCAGATATTAGATTTTGGTGTGTTGTGTATCTCTCCATCTCTCCATCTACAGTGTACATTATCTCTATCGTTGTACTATAAACTACACATCGGTGATCTGAATCGAGCGACGTTGCTTACTGGGGGGACGTGCTTGGGTCAGAGCCGTTGGCCATAAGTGGTGGTGCTCCTTGGTTGACCCGGGCGATATATATATATAATCGGCTGCAGGACTAGATCGGATCACACCAAGAGGCCGATGGCCGGCATCCGTGATGGAATTCGCACATGGACAGTCCCGAGCCATCGCTTAATGTCGCCCACGGGTTAGACAGAGCCATCCTTGGTCGTAGAATGACATCCAGAGTCAACATACTTGGTGACCCCCACCATGTCGCTTGGCCAACTGGTCAGCTCCAACGCCCATACAAAGTGGGCCGGCCGGCCGACCACCCGCACGCCGCAATCCGCAGCCATCCACGGCCATCCCGGCCGCCTCGCTGCCTCGCCATCCGCGCGCGCGCCCTACCCCCCATCCCGGCCCGTCTCTCCCCGCGGCGCCTCGCATCACCCCATCTCACCCGGCCAACTGGTCAATTCCCTTCGCCAGCACGCACGCAACTCGCCGCGGGCACCGGACGCCTGCCTGCCTGGCCCTCGCCGTGAGCGCCGGCCGGTCAGCCGCCCCCGCCCTACAGGTGCTCCGGCGCCGTGTGGCCGGCCATCCTGCGTGCAAACGTTCTGTGGTCCGAAAGTGATTCGTGGGGACGCCCACCGGCCCACCGCGTCCTGGCGACCGTCTCGCGCGGCCAACTGGTCAACGGCCCTTGGACGCGCACAAGGGCCCGGACGGCCTCCTTGCCTTGACGCCGTTCGAGCCAAGTCAACGCGATTTGATTCCAGATCCATCCCTTCCTTCCTCGGCGAAGTCGAATGGCCAACTGGCGTATGAAGTTGGTCGAAGAGAAGGAGGGAGGGACCCTGGCTCATGGCCGGGGGTCCCATCCCAGAGCCCCCTCCAACCGCCCGGCGCTGCCGGACCTGTCAGTGGGGGAGGTGTATAACACAAATCTAGCCAAGGACGGGCTGACAGATCACTCGACCACGTTTGCACGCAGGATGGCGGCCCACGGCCGGAGCACCTGTAGGGCGGGGCGGCTGACCGGCCGGCGCTCACGGCGAGGGCCAGGCAGGCAGGCGTCCGGTGCCCGCGGCGAGTTGCGTGCGTGCTGGCGAAGGGAATTGACCAGTTGGCCGGGTGAGATGGGGTGATGCGAGGCGCCGCGGGGAGAGACGGGCCGGGATGGGGGGTAGGGCGCGCGCGCGGATGGCGAGGCAGCGAGGCGGCCGGGATGGCCGTGGATGGCTGCGGATTGCGGCGTGCGGGTGGTCGGCCGGCCGGCCCACTTTGTATGGGCGTTGGAGCTGACCAGTTGGCCAAGCGACATGGTGGGGGTCACCAAGTATGTTGACTCTGGATGTCATTCTACGACCAAGGATGGCTCTGTCTAACCCGTGGGCGACATTAAGCGATGGCTCGGGACTGTCCATGTGCGAATTCCATCACGGATGCCGGCCATCGGCCTCTTGGTGTGATCCGATCTAGTCCTGCAGCCGATTATATATATATATCGCCCGGGTCAACCAAGGAGCACCACCACTTATGGCCAACGGCTCTGACCCAAGCACGTCCCCCCAGTAAGCAACGTCGCTCGATTCAGATCACCGATGTGTAGTTTATAGTACAACGATAGAGATAATGTACACTGTAGATGGAGAGATGGAGAGATACACAACACACCAAAATCTAATATCTGGCCGACCTCGCGTACATGCACCGTAGAGATCCTTGTAGGTCGCCCACCGACAACGCCTCTCAGGCAGGTCGTAGGCCGCACGGGCTGGCAAATCCACCGATCAACCTCTCCACATCGCCATGTAGCGACGCCTCGGACCGTCAACCGGCGTGGGGAGGGGGGCGCACAGCCGGGCGCTTGCGTTTTGTGTAGCCCTCACAACTACGGCGGAGGCCCACGTGACTGGCCGGTGGGCGGAGGAGTGGAAGGGCACAGGAGTGGGTGTTGGCGGCGTGGGCGGCCGACAGCGGTTTGCGAGAGTGAGCACAACGGGCGTAACGTCGGAGCGTATGGCCGCGTAACGGGCAGCGAGCGTGGACAGAAATGCCTAAGTCCCCTTGCAGCCCGGGTAGAGGGCATGTGTGGGTGGCCCACTTTGTATGGGAAAAGCGGCTGACGCACGGACCACCACATACTATATGGGTCCCCCCGGTTCACTTTCGGACCACAAAACGTTTGCGCGCCGGTCTGCGGGCCAGGGAGGGCCGGTGGTACTATGTGGAAGGTGAAAGGCAGCTGATCTCAGCTGCTGGAAGCCCACCCACACTTCTTCCCTGCCAGGCAGGTCACCTCTCCGTGACTGGTGGCGCACAGGTCCTTCGGGGCCTCGCTTCAGGAACGGGGGTGCCCGCCCACCCCGGCCCGTTGGTATTTCTCCCGCGCGGCTGGTGTGTTCTCTGGTCTTAGGTGCTCTGCCCCGCGGCTGCGAGTCGACTGGAGGTCCGGAGTGTCCCTTGCGGACGCGCCCGTGACCCCTGAGATATCGTGTCGCGGGGATCTGTAGCTTGCCAAGTCAGAGGCGCGCCGGCTTAATCATGCCCGGGGGTGCCCGTTGTTGCCGGGGTGTCTGAAGCCCGGGGGCCGTTCTCGGTCCCCGGCACCGATGGAGTCTGTGGATCGTTGGCCGCTGGCCAGCCTTCTTTTACAGATTCCCGGGGGGAGCCGCTCCGCGGGAGCCGCCGTTCGTCGGCGTGTCCGCGGAGTCTGGACCCTCCACCCGAGGGCCGTATGCCGCAGCCTGCCAACGCCTGCAAAGGCGATTCCTGGCCGGGTCTACCTGCGTGCGGACCGGTTCCTGGGGGGCTACAGTGGGGGCAATTGGATGGTCATCTGTGTACTCCCGGTGCGCCGGGGGTGTCGCTGTGGCCGGGCACTTCGTGTGCCCCTTCCAGAGTGAAGCCTACGTTACACGCTGCCTCTTCGGAGGCTTTGGGGTGCGTCTTGCGGAGCATATCTACGGATACGCTCCCGGGCACACCCTGCAGGAACTAGGTATCTGGTTGATTCTGCCAGTAGTCATATGCTTGTCTCAAAGATTAAGCCATGCATGTCTAAGTATAAGCACTTTATACTGTGAAACTGCGAATGGCTCATTAAATCAGTTATCGTTTATTTGATAGTACCTTACTACATGGATACCTGTGGTAATTCTAGAGCTAATACATGCTGAAAACCTCGACTTCGGAAGGGGTGTATTTATTAGATAAAAAACCAATGCCCTTCGGGGCTCCTTGGTGAATCATAATAACTTAACGAATCGCATGGCCTTGCGCCGGCGATGGTTCATTCAAATTTCTGCCCTATCAACTTTCGATGGTAGGATAGTGGCCTACCATGGTGGCAACGGGTAACGGGGAATTAGGGTTCGATTCCGGAGAGGGAGCCTGAGAAACGGCTACCACATCCAAGGAAGGCAGCAGGCGCGCAAATTACCCAATCCCGACACGGGGAGGTAGTGACAATAAATACTGATACGGGGCTCTTTTGGGTCTCGTAATTGGAATGAGTACAATCTAAATCCCTTAACGTAGGAACAATTGGAGGGCAAGTCTGGTGCCAGCAGCCTGCGGTAATTACCATGGCTCGCAATAGCTGCTCATGTACTGTCAAGTTGTTGCTCGTTAAGGGATTTAGATTGTACTCATTCCAATTACGAGACCCAAAAGAGCCCCGTATCAGTATTTATTGTCACTACCTCCCCGTGTCGGGATTGGGTAATTTGCGCGCCTGCTGCCTTCCTTGGATGTGGTAGCCGTTTCTCAGGCTCCCTCTCCGGAATCGAACCCTAATTCCCCGTTACCCGTTGCCACCATGGTAGGCCACTATCCTACCATCGAAAGTTGATAGGGCAGAAATTTGAATGAACCATCGCCGGCGCAAGGCCATGCGATTCGTTAAGTTATTATGATTCACCAAGGAGCCCCGAAGGGCATTGGTTTTTTATCTAATAAATACACCCCTTCCGAAGTCGAGGTTTTCAGCATGTATTAGCTCTAGAATTACCACAGGTATCCATGTAGTAAGGTACTATCAAATAAACGATAACTGATTTAATGAGCCATTCGCAGTTTCACAGTATAAAGTGCTTATACTTAGACATGCATGGCTTAATCTTTGAGACAAGCATATGACTACTGGCAGAATCAACCAGATACCTAGTTCCTGCAGGGTGTGCCCGGGAGCGTATCCGTAGATATGCTCCGCAAGACGCACCCCAAAGCCTCCGAAGAGGCAGCGTGTAACGTAGGCTTCACTCTGGAAGGGGCACACGAAGTGCCCGGCCACAGCGACACCCCGGCGCACCGGGAGTACACAGATGACCATCCAATTGCCCCCACTGTAGCCCCCCAGGAACCGGTCCGCACGCAGGTAGACCCGGCCAGGAATCGCCTTTGCAGGCGTTGGCAGGCTGCGGCATACGGCCCTCGGGTGGAGGGTCCAGACTCCGCGGACACGCCGACGAACGGCGGCTCCCGCGGAGCGGCTCCCCCCGGGAATCTGTAAAAGAAGGCTGGCCAGCGGCCAACGATCCACAGACTCCATCGGTGCCGGGGACCGAGAACGGCCCCGGGCTTCAGACACCCCGGCAACAACGGGCACCCCGGGCATGATTAAGCCGGCGCGCCTCTGACTTGGCAAGCTACAGATCCCCGCGACACGATATCTCAGGGGTCACGGGCGCGTCCGCAAGGGACACTCCGGACCTCCAGTCGACTCGCAGCCGCGGGGCAGAGCACCTAAGACCAGAGAACACACCAGCCGCGCGGGAGAAATACCAACGGGCCGGGGTGGGCGGGCACCCCCGTTCCTGAAGCGAGGCCCCGAAGGACCTGTGCGCCACCAGTCACGGAGAGGTGACCTGCCTGGCAGGGAAGAAGTGTGGGTGGGCTTCCAGCAGCTGAGATCAGCTGCCTTTCACCTTCCACATAGTACCACCGGCCCTCCCTGGCCCGCAGACCGGCGCGCAAACGTTTTGTGGTCCGAAAGTGAACCGGGGGACCATATAGTATGTGGTGGTCCGTGCGTCAGCCGCTTTTCCCATACAAAGTGGGCCACCCACACATGCCTCTACCGGGCTGCAAGGGGACTTAGGCATTTCTGTCCACGCTCGCTGCCCGTTACGCGGCCATACGCTCCGACGTTACGCCCGTTGTGCTCACTCTCGCAAACCGCTGTCGCGCCCACGCCGCCAACACCACTCCTGTGCCCTTCCACTCCTCCGCCCACCGCCAGTCACGTGGGCCTCCGCCGTAGTTGTGAGGGCTACACAAAACGCAATGCGCCCGGCTGTGCGCCC